CCGGTCCGAGATTATTTTTGGAGGCAGGCTTTCACAGAGGCCCACCACAGAGCTTAACCCTGACTTACGTTCACGTCCTACGTTTTCGTGGACCTAGAGGACAGAAGAAGAGGCCGTCGCGAGTTCCTTGACCATTGGGCCACGTCCGGCGAACCGGCGTCGTTTTTTTGCCCTGGAATCTTTTCTCCCCGATGTTCTCCCCCGATGATCTCCTCCCGCGGAATGCGAGACTCCCCGACCCTACTTCGTCGTTCGAACGTGGCCACGCTGTTGATAATAACGTGTACAGCAAACGTATCCAACTATTACGGCAACAACCGATGACGCAACCTCGCGTTCCTATTTCTGGAGGCAGACGTGCAAATCGAACAACTCGTCCTTTGCCCCGATTTCGTCCTCGTGGCGCGAGCTTCAAAGCCCAGCAAGACGAAGACCACGCGGCCGATCGTAAAAAAACGTCTTGCTCGAGAGCGCGCGTATTCGCGCGTAAGAATCGGCACCGCTACTTCTCTTCAGCCGCTGGAAAAATTATTCGGATTACTCGCTCCAGGTCGGGCGAAACGAGCCGAGCATCGTTGCTTCTATACGCGAGATCTCTTAATAAAAATAACAACGATAAATCAACGAACATTTATAGAAAGAAGTGAGCCTGAATCGACGTGTATATCTATTAATTATTCTCGATTCTGCCAGCAGTGGAGGCCGGTAGGAGACTCTTAATGAGCTTTTCATTTCGTTCTCTTCCTCTCGATTGAATTGTATCGATCACTCTTAATCGCCGGTCGAAAAGAGACCAGGGCAAAATGGAGCGCACGCATATCGGTTACCAAATATATTAACAGCGTGATTAAATGCTGAGCAAAATCACGGTTATAAAAAGGTGTAATGCGAATAAAATGTACGATGATTTAAGGCGACTCATTCATCACGCGAGGTAATCCATTTTCTTTAATTACCAAGCGCCTGTAGAACTTGAATTGAAGGCGCAGGAGAGATAAAACGGTATGGTGCTTGAATAACGACGATCAGGGAGGCGGTGTCGCGATCGAACTTCTCGAACCTCTCGAAAGCATGCTTCGCGATTTCTTCGAAAACGCGTGAACAAATCCGCAACCGACAGATTAATAAATTGTACTTCAATATAAGGACTCCCCCTCCCCTGCCCAGGTTTTTCTATCTTCTTCGACGGTTTGTCTATCTCCTTTTTTTCTTTTTTCGAATGTCCTCGCGTCCTGACTGATGTCTTCTGATCACTTCCGTCTGTAGAAGAGAGACGACCGTGCGTCCCGTAAAAATAGGCATCGTATCGACGATAGATTCGAACGGCCCATTTTTAGAATGGCTCGCATCCGACGAAAACGTCTCGAAATGTCGCCCGCGTCGTTCGCGTTCGTTTGTTCAAGTAACCATTTTTCACTGCAGGTTAATACCGGATCACCGGCGGAAGCAGCTGGTCTGAGGGCCGGCGATGCAGTTATTAGGGTCAATAACACGGAGGTGTACAATCTCAGGCACAAGGACGCGCAGGACGTTATCGTGAGAGCTGGGAACAACTTCGAGTTGACCATACAGAGGTATGGCGACAGGCAGGAAAACTCCGCGAACTCGGAACGTTTTGTCAGCTCAGTGAACTCTGAGTTGGTCACGTTAAGTTCACGTTAAGTTCACGTTCGTTATTGTCGTTCACAGAGGCGGCGGCACTTGGAAACCGCACGTAACTCCGATCAGCTCGAGCCTGCCGTCGCCATCGCCTACCGGCGGCCTCGGCAATATCGCTCCAGTTACGAAAACATCGTTGGCGGCCAACAAGAAGGACGGAGCGCACATCGGAAGTGGGCACAACTTCAGCCCAAAACCATTCGTCGGTATCAATTGTCGAGGTTGTTCACCAAATGTTCAACATCAAACAAATCTAACGAGCGTTTCATTGCAGCTCAATGGAACGGGAGACGGTTCGATCAAGTCCATCGTTAACAAACAATACAACAGCCCGGTGGGCATCTACAGCGAGGAGACCATCGCGGAGACTCTTTCCGCGCAAGCGGAAGTTCTGGCCGGCGGCGTGCTCGGGTAAGATGTTCGCAAGATAAAGCGTAGCTATTGTAAGTTAGAAAGTTCGGAGGTGTTTGTTTTGGTCGCGGTAACACACCGCCGGATTGTGTTTGCAGGGTGAACTTCAAAAAGAACGAGAAGAACTACAACGCGGAGAACAGCGAAGTGTTCAAGATGGTCCAGGAAGCGGACAAAGAGCCAAAGACGCCGGAACCTGGTTAGTAGTTGAAGCTGACGCGTTTAGAAACACCAAACGGAATTCCAATTTTAGCTTCCAATGAGAATGAGAAGCATCGTCGAGCTTTCTCGAATTATCGCGAACCAATTCCAGTTGTTGTCTGTCTTGTTGTTAATCGATAGTGCAACAGTTTCTTGCGCGAAACGAAACGAAGAAAAATCCCTGGAGAGTGATTAACGAACGAGGTTAACGATAGTCGAGTGCAAAACGTGGAACGAAACGTTTTCTTAAAAGGAGCGTAACGCGCATCGAAGGCGCTCTCTCTCTCTCTCTCTCCAGTGATTTTTCGACTGGATCAACTGGCTCCAGTTAGCCTGGTGCATGCCGGTACGATAACTTCTTTGCGAAATAGCGGAGCCAACTGCGCAGAGCGGCGCAATTACGCCGTCCTCACCGGCCCTGGCAGGACTGAGGCCAGTCTCGGCACCGGAAACCAAGCAGCAGCAACCGTCCACGCCGCAGTCGAGCCTTCCACCTGGACAGAACATTTGTGCCGAATGCGAGAGGCTCATCGTGTAAGTTGGCGCCGAGGCGCATCCGTCTCCCTCTCGGTCGTTACTTTCTTTCTTTCAGAGCCGAGGCCTCGAGAGAACGAGAAAGGAAAAAAATAGGACCCGTAGATATAGCAGCGACCACGAAACGATATTCTTTCGAGGCTATTCGAGAGATTTGGCGCGCTTGCGTTCCGAACGATTTCCAACGTCGAGTCGGATTTCTCTGATGGATAATTCTCAATCTCGAACATATTCTAATTGAAAAGTGTTAGTTCGCAGGGCATGAAATTAAGCGCGAAGAATTACGTACATCAGAAGTATCCGACGCGACTTGGACAGTTCGCGCACACGTGGAGGACAAGAGAGATGAAAGAGAACGTTCCTTACGGTGAACAGTTCGTTTGCTCGTTGTTTTCCGGCTATTAGACGGAGCATTTCTCGTATTGGTCGAGTCACAGCACGGTTTCTCTACTTCCATGCCGTAGTATCCTCGAGAACAGAGTTTTACTCGTCGGTGAGCCATGCTGTTGGCGGAAGGGCTACTTCGCCGAGATCACCCACGCCTCTGTTTCATGCTCTGCACGGTAGTCCGGCCTTCAATTCCAATGAATGTCCGTCGTCGAAACGTCCAGCGCAGCGGCAGGAGTCCTCTTCTTCCTCCCCGGCGTCGTCGGGCGTTCGTTGTAGCAACTGCGACCGAGTGATCGTGTAACTACATATTTACGTGAAATCCTCCTCTCTTCCCTTGCGCCGGTCGAAACAGACCGGAGAATTTCCGCTTCTCGACGATATGTCGCTTCTATCTATGTGTCTTCATACAGTAGAAGAACAATGTCACGTGTGTGGGTAGGAACGAGTTTGCGATTCCGAGAGAAAAGTCTTTTACACGATGATTCAGTCAAGTTTCTCGTATTAGGATTTTTTTTCTTTTTTTCTTAATTTTTGATTTTTCAGTGTTTTATCAGGAATCGTGACTCTCGTTCCTAACGTGACGGATCTTGACGGGGAAAAGAGTACGCAGAACTGTGACCGTCTGGATTTTGCTCAATATTGTCGTACGCTGATACCATCGTCGAAATGCTTTTTGACTGAAGGCGTGAGGGCGTGCGTTTTTTTCCTCTCATCTGTCGGTCGTGAATCAATGATCGGTGATATTGGTGTCTTTTTTTTTTTT